CCATGCTGCACTGGCTCCTAAGCAGGCCCCTTGCCCTACCCCTTTCCCTGGGCCAGCCCTGGCTCCACAGCACATCTCAGCTGAAGCTGGACATCAAGTAAAACCCCAAACCCTGGCTGGAAGCAACCAAAAGCTGCCAGATTTGCAGTGCCTCAGTACAGAATGGCATGGCCCAGGAACCCTGCACACCAGAGGGACATGAAATGAGCCACCTCCACATTGGACCCTATGCTGTGATTTCTGTCAGAACGTGCAGAAAGGAACCTGCCTGCAATCCCTGCACGAGCACAGATCTGCAGCATTTGTTTTGGCATTGCTCTTCTAAAAGCAGAGCCAGGCAGCTTGGTCTCATCACTGTCTCCTTGACTAACAGGCCCAGGACAACCTCCTCAACTGCCACCTTCTGTGTCGAGGTACAAAACCCAGAGCAAATGTTTTTACAAGCATGGTTTTCACTGTGCCCTTCCAAATCTCTCCTTGCACATTTTGAGGACTGAACTGTAATGAGAAGTCTTTTCAGGTTTGTTTTCTACAGTGTTGAATGATTTAATTATATTACAGGAAAAATAGAGGATCTGGGGCTCTAATTACATGGCACCAGCACCTCTTGGACTACTCCAGTGCTACCTCGAGCCCACTAAACTGGGGAGGAAACGTGGGCTGATCACCCCCCCACCCACACCTCTCCTAAGCAATAGTCACTGGAATCTCCAAACAGCTAAAGGTTATTTCAGATTTATTTCCCTGAAGAGCACAACTTGTCCAAGAAGTTCTCCAGCTTTGGGTTCTAATTGCTTTCAGACTCCAGTTAATAGATGATGTTTACTTATAGACAGCACATCCACATGAAATGTCCTGTAAGATTCACATCCTAAAGCTGCTTCCCAGCAACCCCCATGCTAGAAATGATTTGGTATTTCCTGCTTACAACTATGGCTAGGATAATCAGCTCATACACTGATTATTAACAGTATCATTACGAGCAGCTTTCAGAAACAAATCTGGCAGGAAGGCTGCACTAATGTCTCTGTCTCCTATCAAGAGCTATTTGAGGAAAAAAAAGTGAGATCTACAAAACAAAGTAACCTGGGAACTAGTTATTCTGCATGACTTCCACAGGACACCACTTTACCATAGGAGCCGAGGCTATAAAACCAAACATTTAACCACCACCATGCTGGTAGATTTCAGTCTTCTCCACAGAGCAGCCATGTGGGTTTACACCTCAGATTTCTACAACATCCTCTTCAAGAAATTATTGTTTGACTTGTTTTACTGAACTTTTATACATTCAGTTTTCTTTATCCTGGTTCCTTCTGCTCTGCAGCCTGAGGATGCAATAACAGACACTACTATATCCAGGCTTCTTCTGACCCAGCATTTCAGTGGGGATGATTTGTATAAAAATACACACAGACATTTCAGTTACTGATTAAAGATAATCAAGATCAACTGCCTGTTTTTTTCCATCCAAAAGAAAATAATGATACATCTTATGTGCTCCCCAACAGCATATGATTAAAGATAATCAAGATCAACTGCCTGGTTTTATCCATCCAAAATAAAACAATGATACAACATCTTATGTGGTCCCCAACAGCATATGCTGTTGATCTCAAAGGACACTTATATGATTACCCCAAAAGATCCATTAAAGATAATCAAGATCAACTGCCTGTTTTTTTCCATCCAAAAGAAAATAATGATACATCTTATGTGCTCCCCAACAGCATATGGTCTCAAAGGACATCTATATGATTACCCCAAAAGATCTTCTTCTAAAGGACCACAGCTGAGAATTCCACCCTTCCATGCCCACTCATCCTCTCCCTATGCACTCAGACCACCAGGAAGCCTCAGTTATGAAGGAAACAGGAGAATCAATGCTTGGCTCTGTGTGCATGGGTTCCAAGCAGTTCACTAGGGCAAAGACTTTTGGCAAACTGTTGTCCCTGAACTGTTCAGTTCATGACCAAAACTCTTCTCATCTGAGTTTTAATTGGACAGAATTTAAATACAAATGTGCATGTGTAACATTTTTGACTTGGTAACTAACTGGATGCAATTTTCTTGCCAGTGTTATTCATCACCCTGGAGCCTTTCTCCAGAGGCAGGCATTTGTGACCACAGCAGAGAAGATTCCTCCCACAAGCAGAGACATGTTTAAGTCACAGCCACCAATGTACTAACACAATTTTGTTAGCAACCCTTATGAAAACAAATATCTGCTCAAGATCCTTGAACCACAAAAGAAACCCCAAATATAAATGTCCACCCTAGAGAGAGAGCAAATGAAATCTGTCCTGCCCACCTGACAGCTCAGGGAAATACCCTCTGTCTTACCTGGAGCTGCAAGAAGGGGATGTTGAAGAACTTGTGCAGGTACTTGAGGCCAAAGCTGTTCTTCATGGAAGACTCAGCATAGCGAAAATAGGAGGAGCCAGGGGGCCTGTCTCAACCAGAGGGGGAGAGAGAAGAAAGCTGTACAAAGGACATGGACTGCACACACACAGAGGCACTTGCTGAGCTACATACCTTCAACCATCCTCATTCACAAGCCAAGCCCTCAATCCCCAGATGTAGACTAGCAGGTCATCCTGCTAGGGACTCATTAGTTTGTTTACAGAATTCACCCTTTGTTCCCCCTGCAGGGTGGCTGAAGGTGGCTGTGGTTGTGGTGCAGTGTCATGCAGAGTAACAAATACCATGTCAGGACACTGGTTCACCAAACAGAGGGTTTCACAGCTGTACAAGCTGTTCATTTCTCAGTGAAGTTTTTGGTTTAAAACCACAAACAGACCTACAATAAGTCACAGGCATCACCAGTGGGCACTAAATGCAGCTGAGTCATGTACAAAGATGAACTTGTAAATAAATGATTACACCATGGAACCAAGACTTAGAACTCCTACCATTCCAGTGTGCCTACAAACACCTTAAAAATATACAGCACACAAAAAGGTACAACCTATTGAATCCTGAATAGTAAATAAGACTTTATATTAAATAACAGAGAGACTCAGATCTCTGCATAAGGGAAAATCTTGCCTGGCTGGCAAGGGAGGCAGATGCACTAGCTGGCTCTCTTGTAGCAGAATTACTTGGAGTAGAGAACAGTTGTCCTGCAGGAAAAGGACTCTTTCACAAGAGCAGTACTATCCAAAAAGAAGATGAATTCTTAGGAAAGGTACTTCTGAAAGGCACATGCTGGCAGGCACTCACTGACTGCTGGAACACAGCTAAATCTGCCCACAACAGTCTCCCAGATCAAAGGAAGAGGAGCCCATCACGCAAGCTGCTGCGTGAGACACTCGGAGCTGGGAAGGCCCAGAAGCCAGGCAGAGAGGGAGGGGATGAAGGTGCTGTGGCAGCAGGAGCAGAGCAGCTGCCCATGGGTGAGGGCTGCTGCCCTGTGCCCGGGGTGCCCCTCACCTGTTGAGGCTGTGGATGAGGTCCCGCACGTCGCCAGGCAGGATCACCCTGTGCTCCCCCATGTCCCGGTAGTTCCCAAGCACACACACTGGAACGTGGGTCGGCACTTTAGGAAGCTCCCTCAGGATATAGTTGAATGTCCTTCACCATGGGAGAGAGAGAGAAAGGCAGATGAGTGGAAAAACATCATTCTGTGAGCAGCTTCATGCACAAATCCCAAAAAAACCGATTTTTCTTCAGAATCCTTCCAGGACGGTGGCTCCTTTCCCCCCTTCAGAGAAACACATTAACTGTAAACACATTCATATCATTCTTTATCCAAAACCAACTTGACAAGTTCAATAATCCACTTCCACCAGCAGCCTCACATCTCCTGCAGCAATATTTCCCTCAGTCCTACAGAACTGTGGGAGGCCAGCAGAAAAGGAGGATTCCCTCCCTCCAGCTGTCAGCGGGCTCACTGACCCACACCAAACCTGTGAAACACAAGCTTAAACAGCAAGCAGGAGCCCTTACCACCTTCTCCTTCCACTCCAGCTTCCAAAACTGCCTCACCCTCCTCAGCAGATGTGCCAAATGAGCAGTTCATGACTTCTGTATGCTAATGCAACCTAGAGCCTCTAAATAACCCTCACTAATTCCAATTTTCCTAGGAATTTCTCACTAGCATCCCCCTTTCTCTTGTGTTCTGGAGAGCAGGGGTTTGTAACATGCCCAGTGTACTTGGCACCTGTAATAGCACTAATTATCAAGCCTCCACCAGCAGCATATCAGAAGCTGCTGTACACAAGCCCACAGGGAGACTGCTTGTTTGAAACAAGCCCTGGAGCAGACTATATTAAAAGACATGTCAGAAGATAAAGCCACACGAGCTTGCTTCAACTCCTTAGGCTGGTTATCAGCACCACAGTCCACCTGGGAATCAAGAGATCTAGAAGCCATTTGTTTTCACTGAACAAGTGAGAATCTGGTGGTGCATGCTGCTGAAGATGTCTTACCACTGTTTGGTGATGTCAAACATCATCACCACACCGTTGCAGTTTTTGTAGACATCCAGGAACTCTGCATCCAGAGCCATTTCTGACTCTGCCTGAGGAAACAAAGGCAAAAAAGCTGTAAATCATTTGATTCAACTTCAGGCTTGCACAGAATGCAACGGACTCAGTGCAGAATAGAAAACCTTCTAAAGGGACAGCCACCAGAATTATCTGTGGATTTCACAGCACCATCATTTAAGCAAGATACCTGGTGCTTTGCAGGTTCTGCTGCCCACAGGAGCAGGACATGAACCACCTGCCAGTCTCTGACAAAGCCATGTCTGAGAGCAAATGCTAAAACCTGTCTCCACCTCCTTCCCCTGTGCCCCCAAGTCCTGCACTGGAGAGATAACTCCACACATGCTCCAGGATGAAGGACAGAGTTCACAGGCCCCATTTCAGCTCTCTGCTGACCCAAATATTGACTGTACTGGGGTTTAAAGCCAGGATGTAGTTTCTACAGAGTTCCTCCCATGAAGGGCTGTAAGGATTTAGTAGTATCCAGTTTGCTTTTCAACATTTGGACTCTGCAGCTGTACAGTACTGGTCAAAACAACCTCCAAGGCTGCTGCTGCCATTTGGTGCCTATGGAACAATTCTCACTCCTTCCCCAGGAGTGGGACACTCCTTTTCACTCACATTTGTGAAGGAAGAAGGAGCTGTGTTAAAGGCTGCTCTCATAAAGGCTTCTTTCTATAGGAGAGTATTTTTAAAGACAGTTCTCCTCACCTGACTGCACAGATTGAGCAGAACTGGCACCGTGGTGGAAGAGTTAACCCTTCAGTGCCCTGACCAGCCCCAGCCCCAAGGGCTCAGCTCTCTGTGTACCAGTGACAATGCCATCCACTGCAACACAGAGCACCAGAATAGCACCCTGGCCCTGAGCCCTGCAGGGCACTGACACAGCAGCAATGAAGCCTTTAGGACCTGCTGCATGGATCATGGAATCAAGGGACTTTTAAACTTCACTCTTCCTGAGAATAAAATTGTACATCTTTTGAAAGAGATGCCATGGGAGTGCAGTGGCAGCCCACAGGCAGTTTGGGTGATGTGGTAAGATGATCTCCCACATAGCACTTGGTTCTTCAGCAGAAGACCCAAAGGAGACACATTGATGCAAGGGGTCAGAGGAAGCTGCTGGGTTTAATGTGCTGGGTAACACTTCTACTTCCCCCTCCTCCTCTCTATTTCAGAGGGTGTTACAAGGTAGATAGCTAGCCTAGTTTTAAGGAGGAGTCAGAAAGTGTGGCATCAAGTGACTTCTGCAGGTTTCACAAGTCCATTATAAAAGGACTTCCTTCCACTGCCCACCTGCAGACAGGAACAAAGCTACTGAGTAAACATCTGGAGCACAGTCATTCCCAAAGGACAGAATGGAAAACAGCAGGGAAGTTGTGGTGAGGGCAGGGACAGGGATAAAACACAGGTAAAAGAGTGAAGAGCATCAGGGATCCCATTGTCCCCCATCCACCTGCCAGCCCATCCTAAAAGCAGAAGCAAATATAGAACTTGCTCTCCATGGACCAAAGGTGGACTAGTGGCTGGCTTCCCACTAAGAGGCAGAAACCTGCATTCAAGTTGACTCACCTCCTGAGGGTCATTTTCCAGTTTCAAACCATCTCCTCGTTTTTTGCATTTTCCTTAAAAAAAAAAAATAAAAAATACAAGTGTTACATTGGGCAGGACCACAGCATTTTGAACATGACCTTAAAGCAGATCCAACTTCTCCTGTAAGCGTGGGGAAGGCAGAGGGGTGGGCCAGGCATGCCTACCCTGGGCAAGAATGCCACCTGGTCCAATTCAAAGTGAATTGGCAGAAAGTCTGGGGTAGCCTAAACCATTTCTCTTCATAGTATAAAGTCATAATGACTGAATAATACAGACATTGGTGCACCTCTGACCACACAGGGAAGCTGCTGTGCTGTGCTTTTTGTTGCCTTAGTGCTGATTGTGGGGCTGGACAGCACAACTACACCCAGAGCCTTCCTGAGCCATGGCACTGCTCTGAAGCCAGCAGCATTCTGAAGAAACGGGACCTCAGAGCCCATGGGCTGTGCTAGGGGAATATAACAGCCAAAAGACAGAGTTTATACAAGGAGAAATCAAAGCAAAATCAAATAGACTGTGGCAACGGGGCTGTGGAGAAGTAGTGGAGAGCCAGAGGGTCAGGTCTGGACATCACCAGCAAAAGGAAATCCTCCAGAGGCACCATCCAAAGCCACAGGCTCCAGAGACACGCACACAAGAATAAGCCAGGACAGGTAAAACTGATGAAACTCTCAGGAAACTGCAAGAGGCAACGGGCTAAACACTTGGAGAAGACACCAGAAAACCTTTATAGAGACTTGCCTTCCAGTCCCACAGCCACAGTCCCACCTGGAGGAATCTGCAGGCTGCTCTCCAACTCATCTGCATCCTCTAAGGCACATGCTAAAATACAGCCCTTATACTTAAAGGGAGACCTCCTGAGACTTCTCCCTTTTCTTACAGCTCCAGTAAGCACTGGAGATGTTCACAAACTGGCATTTTAAAGTACCACTGGCATTTGACTCAACTCCCTGAGAAAAGGAGTTGGTGTTTATAAGCCTCAGGCTCCCTGAAAATTCTGCATTCCATCAGTTACACTGCAATCACATTTCCAAACCTTAAAACCTGCACCCACAGCAGGCTGAGAAGATGACACCATCTACCTGCAGCTGCAACGGGCAGTGGCAACCAGCTAACGTGATATTCTGATGCAGACACTTGGCACAAAGGATCTCCAGGAGTCCCAGGAGGTAAGAACAAGGACATCTTCTTTCACCCACTGCCAAAGGCGTTTAGTGCAGACACACCATTAAAAATCCCCCCAAAATCTATCCTTGCTGCCCAGGGATCATTTAAGCCCTGTCTACATCCAGCAGTTTCCAGGGTTTTATCAAAGGATGAGCACTGCACAATGACTAACCCTGTGCATTATGTTTCACAGACACCAAATACCTTCCAGATGTTACTGACAGCAATTAAGAACTGTATTTCTGAATTAACCTTGTTCTGTATTTTCCGAGCCTAGTGATGAGTTAACTAAATTACAAGACTTGGAATTCCTTCTCATAATTTCTAGAAATTCCCTGCATCACTGACAACAGAATGTGTGGGCAGCTTGGATGCACCTGAAAAAAAAACTCCCATCAACTCTTTAAGACTCTGAGACACTGGGGGACTAAAATAGCTTCTGTCAACCATTCAGCTGTTGATTAATATGGAGCAACTCCTTGTAAAATACATGGTTCTGCCAGATGCTGCATGTGAAATGAAGTGTTTCATGCTTTTTGCACACAGGTTAACAATAAATAGTGATGAAATACAGAGTTTTTTTATGAAAGTTCTAATGCTGCAGGAGACTCTGGCCCCTACATGCTGACAGCATGTAAAATGTCAACTGTAAGATGACATAAGGGGGGCAAACATCTGAAAGTAGCAGAAATACTAATCCTGGTCCTTCCCCATTCATGCAATGTGTTTCCCTGGAGGATCCAGGTATGGGCTCTGATTCTTCCCAGCACAACTGAAGGGGTGGGGTGTCTGGGACATGTGTGCCTTTTCCCACCTCAGTTAAATTCCTCTCAAGTCAGAGGCATTCTTGTGGCTCCTCTGACTGTTTCTGCAGTTACTGCTAAATTATGCTTGACGTGACCTGAATTTCTACCAAGAAGCTCAAGCAACCACAAATACTCTTCATAGTTCCTCCTGTCCTGAGCAATCAAGGTGTCCTTCTAACCTGAACATACAACCAATGACTTGAGACCAAGTACCAGACACACACAAAGTCACAAGCAGGGAGGGGTGTGTGCATCAAGAGGAATGGGTAATATTCCTCCATGGTGCAAAGGAGGTCAGCTCTAGGGGAGCACCAGAGCTCACAAGCTCATGTGTGTACATGTTCATGCACTGTGGCTATTTTTGGAACCCAAACTGCAGGACAAGCCAGAAAAAGGACAAGATGTATGTAGTGAAAAGATGCACTTCAGCCTGTAAAGGCAAGGCCACAATGAAGACTGGGGGTTTATATGAGAGAGGTCCTGTCTTCAGGTTGCATTGATGTGCAATCCAGCAGCCTCAATCAGTAAGCAAGGCTCTTTGTGCTGTGATTGCTCAGCTTCTCCACCTAGAACAAGGACTGCTCCTTCTTTCCAGGCATAACAGAAACACTGAAACCAGATAACCTTACAGCAGTGCCCCAAAGTCTACAGAACAGTTCCTACTGAACACCAGAGCCTGGGGCTGTAGCCAGCACCTGGGAGCCTCTGCACCTCTAGGTACCACCAGTTTTGCTGCAGGAGAGCAAGGATTCAGTACAGCTTGCCAACAAATGCTGTCCACTCTGCAGGGGAGATGCTGCTGTTCACCACTTAAAAACACACAACCAGAATATCTGTATCTCCAGTGTTATTTAAATTATGACATCTGACAATAACAGAAACAGTAATTCTGATCTTTCCTCCTCCTTGCAGCACATCTTTGGGATGGAGAGGGGTGAAGGGGCAGGGAGAGGACAGGAATCTCCAATATGACAATTTCTGTTCTTTTGGGGGACAACAGAAAAAAAATACAATTTGATCCCTTCAGTTAATGTATGGGAAAAGATGCAGGAACCAAACAAGCCAGAAGACTGGAACTGTTCTTCAATCACCTGCATTCAGGCAGCTTCACTGCACTCAGGATCCACTACAGCTTTATGGCCTGCAGCAGTTACACAACTTGCTGCAAAGCCAGAAAGATGAGTCAGGACCGTGGGTTTTGCTGAGATATCCTTCCTATGTTCTATTCACTCCAAGGGCAGCAAAGGAGACAGTATTTACCACACACTGCTCAAAACCCAATATAATCCCTAGCTGGGGGCAAGCTCTACTTGTTAAGATTTTAACAAATGGCATCATGACACAAACGAGCCCCTCTCTGTGAGCAGGCCCAAGGAGAACACAGCAGGCTGCATGGAATCCATGCTCCAGTGGGTCTGCATGTTAAATAACAAAAAAAACCCCAAAGATTCAAGGAAAAGGGAAGAGGAGTGTGGTGTAACAGTCACCATTCCCCCCTGCTTCAGTGCACGGAGCCACCCCTCAGGTTTTAAGCTTTCTCAGCACACCTCCCCACACTTCCAACTTAGCATCTATATGCTAAACAAACAGCAGCTTGGCATCAGCCAGACAGAGCCACCAGAGCTGCTCCTGAACCAGTCTGGAGAGAAAAAATCAAAGCACGCTGCTGAAGTCCTGAGGAGAGGGAGACATGCTGCTGGTAAGCACCAGGAGAAACACCACCTCGTAAAGCCACGCTCACTTCTGAGCAAAAAATGTACACGAAGCTTTTCAGGACACAACTTAGGAAATTTCCTGAAATCCTCACGGGCATGTTCACATGGAGACGTGCAGAAAGGCAGCAGTGAATAGCAGAGAGGAGGCCAGAGCTGCTTTACAAGACTCAAGTTGAAAACTGCAGTTTATGAATACAACTTTCAGGCAGTCTAGCAACATTCCCACATCAGGCTTTGAATATATTTTCCATCTTAATTTACATTTACATCTTCATTTAAATAGAGTTCTCTTAGTTTTCTCTAACAAGGAACACTTCCTCCAAAATGGGGAAACACTGGCAACAAAATTTAGCCTGGAAAACAACATCTGTTGAAATGCATGTTCAGAACGTGCATTTTTGGCAGTTTCAAATACAGCCTGATAAAAGCAGCATTCTACACAACTCTAAATATGCAGGTTAGCCAGGATCTGGTAAGCAAGGAGAAAAAGGAGGCTCAGGTCTTGTCAGCACTAGGCTGCAGCAGCACTGGCTATGTCACTACAAGTCTACAGTCTAGATCAGTGTTGCTCTCACCAAAAGCATCACGCAGGAGGATTTTTTGTCCTAAGTATAGAGAAGGAAGAATAAAAATGTCATGAAATAACATGAAGATGAAAGTTAGATAGGAGCAAGTTCCTAAGAGTTAATTTGCCCATTTTCCTAAAGTTGTACTTGTCAGGAACCTGCAAAGCTGTGGCAATAGGAAAGGATTTGATTTGGTTACGTCACGATGATCTGAACTTTTCACTGCATTGATGAAGTACATTTGATTATATAAAACTACATATCTGTAGTCCACAACCAGGGGGCTTAACAGAAAGGGCTTTATTTCAAAAGAATAAAAAGCAGAAAGAAGAGAGTCCCTTGAGGTTTCTAACACATGCTCCACTGTCAGAAATGAAAGCAGCGTCAGAAGAGCTGTTACCAACATCTGCACATATCAAATCTGACTCATTTTGCCAAAAAAATGACAAGTCTCAAGTTGAGGAGATGAGTCTGCTCAGAGAAGCTATTCACAGAAAAAAAAATGCTGCAACTACATGATTCCCAAATTATCTGTCTAACCATTCATACCAAAGTTGCAAGGCAGCAAGAAAACAGATGTTCTGCTCCGAGTCCAGCCCTGCACATGTTACCCCAGGATCTGAAAGCCAAACTGGAATCAGACTGACTCCAGCAGCAACTCTGACCTAAGGAAGGGTTTGTCTACACTGTGAAAACCAGGGTTTAAAAGAATAAAAAGATATAGCACCCAAGATTTTCATTTAAAGTTACAGGCTCAAGTTTAACCTAAAGGCTCTGACCCAGGGCTGTACCCAGAGCTGCTATCTTAAATTACCTTTTCTTTTGTACTATTTTAAACCCAATTTAGCTAACATGAAAAATGAGAGTTCTCCCTTTCCCTCTCCCTATTGTATTTATCTTCTTATTTTCTGGTGTTCATGCCTGTGTGAGGTGCAGCAGGAGCAGTGCCCCTCGGGGGCAGTTCTGCTGAGGAATGAGTGCCAAGCACAGACTCCTGCCAAGGCTGCAGGAAAGGCACCAGCAGCCAAACCATCAAAGCTGAGGTTTCAATGACTGTAGTCAACAGATCTGATGAACAGAAACACACAAACCAGGAGCACAACCCCCAGAGCAAGAGGTAACTCACTTGTAGAGCTGCTTTCCTGACCACTTTAAACCAGGATGGTATGAACGGCTCTTGAAAGCCACAGAATATCTGCATCTGGGGCTACAGAATGGGCTGTTATGGTTTACATCTGAACCCCAATTCCTTCCAGCAACAGATTCCACTGCATTCAGATTTGCACTGCATCCAGACTGTCTCTCCACATACTCTTTTGGGGTTTGTTTTTATTTTTTAAAAAAGAGAACTTTATACTCTGCCAGAAACTGAAAACTAATGACAAATGTATTTATACATCAGAATACTCTCCCTGGCCAAGCACTTAGAACAGATTTTGGATTAAATACATTGCATCTTCTGTCCTAAGCGAAGGTAAGCAATTTGCTTCTCTTTTATCCTTTCCTCCTGCATACATTATTCACTGCAGATAACATTTTAGCAATTTAACAATAGCATTCCTTTACAAAAACAGCTCAGCAGG